AAACCCTGAATATAAATGTTTTAGGACCAAAAATACTGGTACAGGACCATATCATGTGTGTATATTTTATGTAATGTATACAGAACGAGAGAGCGTGTTGTATCGGGTGATAAAGATCCGAGCCGAAGGCGAGGATCTTTAGCCCCGATACAACACGCTCTCGAGTTCTGTATACGGCTTATCAAACTTTATAATAATTCTCATTTTAATGTTTTTGAAAAATTGAATATCTTGCTGCATTTCATCGATTAAAATTATCACCGTATGTCGCCGTTATTAAATGTTCGTCAAATATAACTGTTTGTATGGCGCCATTGTTTCATGAAACGACTGAACTATCAAGGGAATTTCTAAATGATTAATTGAAAGTGGAATTGTCACATTAGAATCTTTTTATACTTAGTCCTGAAAATTGTTTATTTTCCTATTGTTTTTTAAAGAATGTGCTTGCCAAACTATAGAAAATTAGAATTGTCAAAGGAATTGCAAGATATTAGGCATTCATAGTTAGCAAAAATTAAATCAGTTGGCTTTCATTTCTCCCTCGAAGACATGTCGAGTCGATTTAGCAGACCTAAAACTCAACATAAAGGAAAGCGCTATTGTTCGGGGGAGTGTTCCACATGAAAGTATTCAACAAAATGGTCCGCAACCTTATTTTGCGACCGGCAAAAAGACCGTGMGAACAAGAAAGCCATTAATGGGAGCACCAGTTTCAGTTTCAAAAACAGCGAGTCATTCCAGGATATGCTGACGCTTGTGGTCTTGATGACATGAACGCCGAGTCGTTTATTTTTTGGATGGTCAAATTCATACAAGACGAGGCGCTAAGAAAAACAAAGAAGCTTATTCGACGATCGAGTAAATCGCGAGGAAACGAAACGGCATAGCTACAATATTGATTTTTCAGTGTGTTTTAATTGTGTTTGATTACACACGAGTTTTGACATTTTGAATATTTTCAGGGGAGTGCGGGGCTGATTATCATTCAACGTTTTCCTGATACAGACCTAATTAATAAAACATTAGTTCTGTATCGCTTCCCCTGAAAATATTCAAATCCGCCCCCAACTTTGAGCTTGCTGCCCCTTTCAGCCAATATAAAGGTATAATCACGTGATTAGATTCTCAGTATATCATTGGCTAATAACATTATGAATTATTAATGAGTTTGATAAGGTCCAAAATACTCTTCAAGCTTGGCGGGACCCTCACGCATCCAGTACCAGATATATTGGGGCTTTTTCATTTGGCCTTGAGCATCGATCCATGGTGCAGGGTAGTAATTACTAAACTTAGCTGAAAAATGAAATTGTTCAAGTCGTAAATATCCTTTTTTTAACATGTTATCCATGTATTCAATAAACTAGACAAATTGGAATAATCATCGAGTTAGAGGTTGAGTTGAGAGTTTGAGTTAACCT